GTTGTTTCTTCACTGTTGAATTCTTCTTGGATTATATTGTCGAATTCTTCTTGGAACATATTGTTGAATTCTCGTTGTAAACTTTTTGAGCCTCCGAAAGGATTATGGGAAGAAGATGCCATATTTGATAAATATTTTGTTAAATAAGTTCCTTTGATTTGTGAAACAGATTTGTAAATAAGTAGAATGAGAAAGAGATTTGATTTGGAGTAAAAAGAAATTTGAATTGCAATACAAAGAGAATTGATATCTAATTTAAAGAAAGAGAGGGGGTGAAGGAGAATAATATCAAAAGAGAGAAATGTTTGTATAATATCAGAATTGTTGAATGAATCGGTTAAATAACAAAACCCAAAGTATACATATATACAAAACTCAAACTGATTTCGTTGGCTACAAATGAAAGATACAACCAAAACTTTTGTTTCACTTGTGCAGATGAAGCCAAGACTTGTGAAAAAAATTGTTTGGTTGTGCCGACTTGGTAACCAAAAAATTGTTTGGTTGTGCCGACTTGGTTGTGCCTCATCCTGGAGCAAAAAAACAAATCCAAAAATCAATGTTGAATCATTTGGCCTGAAGACGATAAGAAGAATACATACACAAAACCATTAAAGAGAGAATGTCAACCACAAAGATTAAGATCGATAAAAGAAATTTTGTTACCTAGTTTACACAAGAAGCTCTCAACTCCATAGTTGATATATCTGAATTCTGCTGATCAAATAAATCAGTAAGCTTTGAAGCTACAGTTCCAAGGTGATCAACATCATTCAACAGAGCCTTTACAGTGTAATCCTTCAAATTGTCCAATACCCTAAAACATAAATGGTTAATGTAAACCACATCATTCAAAGCTAATGAATCCGAAGCTATTAGTAAGTTAAATCAAATGTTACATTTGCTTTTACATCAGCAGCTGACTAAAGTTGAGGCCTCAAATTCTTAAGCTCCTGTTTACATCAAAGTAAAAAGGTACAAAATTACATAACAGTATAAAGCCAAAAACCATCCAACAAAATCAGAAAGATTTCTTCACAACAAAATCCCTAAATGGTATTAAAGTCAAAGCCATTGTCTTAATCTCTTATTGACACATAAGCAATCTTTGATAACACTAACCGACAACACACAACATTTCGAATTGAAATTGAAATATGATACAAACACATAATATGGAACATATGCAAGGAAAGTACACATGAAATCACTTCCTCTAGACAACATTTCTGTAAGAAGCATGTCCTTATAAGCTTCTTCTTTCTCTGAAAGTTCTTTCTTTGCAAGGAGATTGTCTAGTANNNNCATCATGGACANCTCTTTTTGNNNATTCATGTCCTTCTCTTTTAAAGAGAACATACTCTGAAATCGCTCCATCTTCTTGTTGTCATCCATTATCACTTACC